TATCGTTCTCGGAATAAACGCGATCATTGGAAGTGTGTACTGCAATTATGTAAAGTACGTAACTGCAGTGTAAGCTTATAATAAAACGTTATCGTTTATTGGTGTGGATGCGAATATAGCTATCATAATAGTTATCGTTCTCGGAATAAACGCTATCATTGGAAGTGCGTACTGCAATTATGTAGCGTACGTAACTGCAGTGTGCGCTTATAATAAACAAAACGTTATCGTTCATTGGTGTGGATGCAAATATAGCTATCATTACCATTATATTTTTCGTTCTTAGCGTGAACGGATCTTAATTCTAATCTACCATTTTCCAGGGCAGTTGTGCTGCTGAGATTCAGATGTATTACTGCGGTGGTCCTGAACTCGTCAACATCTAAATGATGCTCTTCAATGCACAAAGCATTGATGCCCATTACTGAGACAGTTATAATTTTTATTAATATTTTGAATTAAATTTTATTTTAATATTTTATGTTTTTGTTTCATCTTGTTGAATAGTGTTAATTTTATATTTTCTTTTTAAATTTTAGTTCAAGTTATAGTAATTTTGTCACATCATCTCACCCACTCGCTCCACCTGCCTTCGTTTAACCCTTCAGAAAGACTCCTAAACCGGACCATTAACCCATCCGAACAACTCTTTACTAGGAAGATCCAGTCTGAAGAAAACTCTCCTGTTTAGAAAAGGAACAGTGTGGAAAAACATCATCTCTCAGCGTTCTCGCGCGTTTGTTGCCATGGATACCGCGAACTCTTTCTTCGCGAGCTTTCGCGTTTGAGTGACGCACTTGACTCTTGCTTGTTTCTATGTGACGGGCTGTTCATGTGAAGCTATAAAGCAACGAAAACAGACGGGAAAGCGGACGCTAACGAAGAACATCCGCGAGTACCGTTACATAATGCACGAAGCATACTGTCATCAAACGCGTGCATTACCAATAACTCGTGCTTAAGAACTGTAATCGCTCACACACACACACACACACACACACACACACACACACACACACACGCGCGTTTCTTACCGATGTCGGAGTGGCAGTACGCGTCCTGTGGATGAGACATCGCGCACGAACACGCGTCTGACGCTTGGTACATCAGACAGACGAGAGAGAACAGCAGGAACGCGAGCACAAAACAAGGCTTCATTCTGAAGGGAACGCAGACTAAACACTGCTGTCAGTGCGCTCCGGACGCGAAGCACATATAGTGCGCTATAGGACGCGTCACTGGCGAGCGCTGCAGCCGCGCACCAATCACAGCGCGCGCCGATTAACATTACAGGCGCATGACGTAATGGAAGTGACCTCATAATGATGTTGTTTCGCCTCTGTTTTGAGGTTGTACAGCAGACGCGCGTGTCCACAGCAGATCGAGGCGGAAAATCGCGTCTTTGTGGAAAAAGCGCATTAATAACATGTTATGACACTGTGGCTTTAGAGGTACATTCATCAAAACCAAGCCCCCCAAAAAATCTCAATGACTCAGATTCTCAGTGACTTTAGGTCTAGTATGGAAAATATTAGCAATAAAGGAACACAAATGGAAGTAGTGGTGTTATGTAGAAACTATAAACAAATGCATTTCCCAAATGGCAAAAATATATTTTAAATCAAGAAAAATCATCATGTTATAGACACACAAAAAAAGTTTTTTTTCAAATGTGCCATATGCTAATATATTTTATTGGAATTAAATATATGGAGGGCAAAATATATATATATAAAAAACAAAACAAAACAAAACAAAACAAACAAAAAAATATATATAATTTTTTTTCCATAATTTTTGTTTTATATTGTTTGTGTTATTTTTTTATTTTCTATTATAATTTCTTTTCAATTTTAGTAAAAATAAAAATAAAAATAAAATATGTGTATATATATATATATTTTTTTTAATTATTATTATTATTTTTTTCCCAGTATGGGTTAAATTTAGATACATTTTATTTCCAGTTGCATTAGTTTCTATGTTGGTGTTTATTTTTCATTGATGATGAATGCTGTTTTTAAGGTCGTCTGAGTCTGCTGATGTACATACTCCTGCGCTTCGCTCATGTGTTCCTTGTGGGTTGTATTAAATTCGTACTGCATGATGACTTGTTTAACAGTAGACACCCAGTGCAAGTATTTCATCATTTTGCAAATATTTAAATGCGATTATGTGAGATTCCGTCTGGCTTTCCAGACTGAACATTGTGCTGCTGTGTGTGCGGCGATTCAGTTACTCAGACTTTCTTTTGCTGTGATGGAAACTAGCAGACTGCTGTGTAAGTGTATATCTGTGTTCTGATGGCGTTGTTGGTCAGAAGTGCCAGTATAAGCCCAGTACACAATCCCAGAATCCTCCAGTGCGACTCTGAACTTTGTGTAACAGGGTTGTGTAAAGAAACCCGGCCTTGAATGAGTGACAGGACACGATGAATCACGATGAGAATCAGAAACACACAGCCTCTTTCCGTTATGGATGGATGGGTGGGTGGATAGATGGATATATAGACAGACAAGTGGATAGACAGGCAGATTGTGTCACAGCAGAGAGAGTTCCAGGCGTGTGGTCAGATCATCATCATGTGTTTGAGCCCTAAACGCTTGTCTAGCACATGAACATGATAAACACAGCAGCGCTCCAGTTCATCAGCGTCAGCAGCGCTGGAAAATCCACTCTGACGGCCGGAGCGCTGGAATCTCACACCGGAGTGTTTGGGAATCGCCCCCCTCCGTCTGTTTCACTATTACTCCGTCTGTTTTTACTCTCTCGTCTACCTGTCGGCCAGCGCTTGCGGTAAATGAAAGCGTGTTGTGAAAGCTGTTACAGACGTGTGAGTCTACAGCGTTTGCCTCTAACCCTTTCAGACCGGAAGAGCGACTCATTTCAAAGTCAAGGCGTTTATTGGCACAGTGAGGAAAACAAGTTTCCCTGTACAAAGAAATTCTTTCTTTGCTGTCCACAGTGGATGCCAAGACAAGTGCAAAAACTATGTAAAAAATAAAGAATAAAACACACACATATACATACACACAAACATAATAAAACATAAAACTATGCTAGTAGAAATATAGACTGTAAATATAGAAATATGTGATCCTGGAGCACAAAACCAGTCATAAGGGTCATTTAAATTGAGATTGCTGAATAAATTAGGATAGGACAATATTTGAAAATCTGGAATCTGAGGGTGCAAAAAAATCTAAATATTGAGAAAATCATCTTTAAAGTTGTTCAAATGAAGTTCTTAGCAATGCATATTACTAATCAAAAATTAAGTTTTGATATATTTACGGTAGGAAATTTACAAAATATCTTCATGGAACATGATCTTTACTTAATATCCTAATGATTTTTGGCATAAAAGAAAAATCTATAATTTTGACCCATACAATGTATTGTTGGCTATTGCTACAAATATACCCCAGCGACTTAACACTGCTTTTGTGCTCCAGGGTCACAAATAGACTATGTACATCTGTATGTGCAAGTACAGTAACGTGTGCAAATTGAATGCAACTACATGATAATAATAGCAGCAGTAACATTAATGATGTGCAAATGAGATGAAGCGATTCAGTCACCTATTCTATGAGATAGATGAGACTGGTCTGTGTCCTCTGGCTACCTGTTTAAAAGTCTAATGGCTGAGAGAAAGAAGGTGTTCCTTAATCTGGAAGTCATTTGAGCAGCTGCTGGAGTGAATCGAGCCCTCATTAGTGTGCACTGCATCTGTTCTCATTTAAACCAATAGTTTCACTTGTGTTTTGACTTTCGTCGTGTGTCAGGTTCTGCTGTGACTGCGACCTGCTCAGACATCATTGTGTGTCGGGTGTGTGACGCAGCGGGATGCTCTTCCGGACGGTTTGTCTGGGAATGTCGAGGGATGTGGTGATGCCCTTCAGCAGACAGACGGAGACAGATAATTGGCTGCTCGTCTCTCGTAGAGGAAACACTGCTGTGTTCAGCCTGTGTGTGTGTGTGTGTGTGTGTGTGTAAGAGTGTTTTCTGGGGAATTCCTCAGCGGTGATGCACATTTGAATGGAAAGACACACAAATATGTGCACTTATTTTTATGTACACTACCGTTCAAATAATTCTCAAATGTTTCTGAAAGAAGTCTCTTCTGCTCACCACGGCTGCATTTATTTGATCAAAAATACAGTAAAAAATGTGAAATATTATTACAGTTTAAAATAGCTGTTTTCAATGTATTGTAAAATATATTTTATTTCTGTGATGCGCAGCTGTATTTTCAGCATCATTACTCCAGTCTTCAGTGTCACATGATCTTCAGAAATCATTCTAATATGCTGATTTACTGCTCGAGAAACATTTCTGATTATTATCAATGTTGAAAACATTAATATTTTTGTGGAAACTGTGATGTATTTTATTTTTCAGGATTTTTTAAATGGAATTTTTTTGTAACATTATAAATGTCTTTACTGTCACTTTTGATCTATTTAATGCAGTCTTAATGAATAAAAGTGTTATTATATATTCTATGTATTTTTTAAATCTTACTGACCACAAACTTTTGAATGGTAGTGTAATTTTTATTTAATTTTTTATATATAATTTTATTCATATATACCGGTACGTTTTTGTGGCAGGAATGCAGTAAAAGTGAGAGTAATCTCACACAACACTAAATAATCTATTTGTGCTGGAAATAGCATGCGTTTATGAAGAATGTAATTGTGTGTTTAAGGACGTGTCGGGTTTAGTCTTCACGAGATAATGTTTATCTGTTTTGTGAAAGCGCAGCGTCATGCTCCACTGTTGAAAAAGAGAAATGAGTTGATCTTTGTGCTCCAGCCTCATGAGGCCTCAGAGAAACGGCTCTGTGTGTGTGTGTGTGTGTGTGTGTTGGTGTTCTCCAGGAGTCACTGGGCGGCTGTCTGTGGCGGTGACTCGTTTCCTCACATGGCTTGCCCAGAACATTCCAGTCACGATAAAACCACATCAGCCTAAAATACCTCTGCTCTCTCCTGCAGCTGCCCACCGCATCACTCCCAGTGGTGGTGAAGATGGGACACGCCCACTCCGGCATGGGCAAGGTAGGAGCCGATGATGTCATCACACACACTGCACTCTGATTGGGCCGTCTGTGAAGATGTGAAGTGTGTGTGTGTGTGTGTGTGTGTGTGTGAGCGAGTGTGTGTGTG